TTGTTCAAATGTTTATTATGAAAAACTTAAAAATTGATAAAGAATAATAATATTTATAAACAAGAAAAATTAAAGAAGACAAACTTAAAGTTGACTTCAGTGGGATACTTTTTAAAAATGTACTTTTTCAGGGGACGCAAGATATGTACAATAAAATACACAAGACAATTCTGAGCATATTAGATGCTTTGGAGAAAATCATTTACGATTTATAATTATTACAGTCTGTAAAAGGTAATTGTTCAGGGATGTTCAATATACCAAAAAGAATGATCACTTTCATTAAAAAAAAATACATTACAGTTCTATCAATAATAAAAAAAAAATACACTGCCAACATTTTCATTTAATCTTGTTAAAGTTATAAGTTTTTAATTGTTCAGGGATGTTCAATATACCAAAAAGAATGATCACTTTCATTAAAAAAAATATATGTAAAATACATTACAGTTCTATCAATAATAAAAAAAAAATACACTGCCAACATTTTCATTTAATTTTGTCAAAGTTATAAATTTTTAATTGTTCAGGGATGCTCAATATACCAAAAAGAGTGATCACTTTCATTAAAAAAAAATATATGTAAAATACATTGCAATTCTATCAATAATATTAAGAAAATGTACTGCCATCATTTTCATTTAATTTTGTCAAAGTTATACATTTTTATACTGAATAGTAATATTTTATTTAACAAGACGTCTATACATGTCGAGCATACTCAACCTAACCTATAAATTCAGCAAGCGCGTCACGCAGAGTAAAGAATTTATTAAAATAATATTAAAATAGGTGAAAAATGTTATTATATTAGAGACATTTTTATGCAGTCCGTAAAATTAATCTGGATCCTGCAAAGATTAGCGTTTGTTCAAAACGTGACGAGTCCTAAGGGGTTAGATTCGTGTCTTCGCGATCTTCGTCATCGGAAACTTTCGTCGCTGGTTCGGTAAACGAGCAACGTTAACGAGCCGTCAAAGGAACGGTTATCCGACTATAATTAACGTGTTTTTTGCAGGAATCGCCGCGGGCGAACAACGCCGTACGAGGCTGATTAGGCAAGCGAGCAAAGAAGGCTAATTAAAGGTTCGCTTGCGATGCCGTTAGCCCTGGCTCCTTTATTAACCCTTTCGGTGATTAACACGCTCTCCTCGGGAACACTTTGGAGTCGGATTTCACCGGGCTTCTGTGTTTTTCCGGGGTGAATTTGCCTCTTTGTCTTTTTTACGCCTCCTCAAGGCTGATTTCACAGACTGATAATCGGGCCTCTGACGGACGCTATCGGTCTTCTTGCGTGCTACTCTGACGAGCCTGATAGAACGGCTAATGGCCATGGTAATTGGGTTGTGCCGGTTTCCGGGTTTCGTGAAACGGGTTAACGGATCTTTTAGTGGACCTTTGTGGACGGGTGGAAATTTTACGAAGGTTATTAACGTATGAAAGCAGGGATGGTCTTAAATTGCGAATTGCCAGTTTCAGGTTATGTTTTTACAATTTCGGTAGCGGCAATAAGGTTTTGAGATGATTATTACAATTATAGTATAAGATTTCCGAAGCCTAATATTCTCATGTGCCGATATTTCAAAATCTTAAAGTGCAGAAGTCTCACAATCCTAAAATCTCAAGGTCCCAAAATTCTGACATCTTAAAGTCTTAACCCTTTGCGTTCGAGAGGTGACTCACAGTCACCATTATATTTGATACAATAATTTTAAATAAGCATTTTTTAACTGACACGTGTGATGTATAAACATAGTGAAACAAACAATAGAGAAAATTATTAGTAAAGAAATAATAACTTCAAGAAAATTCATTTAACTTTTTAACTAAGTTTTAAAGTTGCTGTTTGTAAATAGTCAAATTACCTTCGAGTGCAAAGGGTTAAAATCTTAAAATCCCAAATACCCAGAATTAACATTGAAGTCCTAAAATCTCAAGGGCTTACAATCTCAAACTTCCGACATCTCAAAGTCCTAAAATGTCAAAGTCCCAAAATCCGAAAATTATCCTTGAATTTATAAAATCTCAAGGACTTACAATCCCAAACTTCCGACATCTCAAAGTCCTAAAATATCAAAGTTCCAAAATCTCAAAATTATCCTTGAATTTATAAAATCTCAAGGACTTACAATCCCAAACTTCCGACATCTCAAAGTCTTAAAATCTCAAAGTCCCAAAATCCGAAAATTATCCTTGAATTTCTAAAATCTCAAGGACTTACAATCCCAAACTTCCGACATCTCAAAGTCCTAAAATCTCAAAGTCCTAAAATCCGAAAATTATCCTTGAATTTCTAAAATCTCAAGGACTTACAATCCCAAACTTCCGACGTCTCAAAGTCCCAAGCCCGAAGGTCCTAAAATCTCAAGGTCCTAAAATTCTAAAATTCTAAAACTTTAAAGTCCTAAAATCCCAAACTTCTGACACTTCAAAGTTCTGAAGCCCTAAGGTCCCAAAATCCTAAAATTCCAAAACCTTATAGTCCTAAAATCTCAAGGATCTAAATTCCCAAAATTCTGACACCTCAAAGTCCCAAAATATCAACGTCCCAAAATCCCAAAATTCCAAAACTTTAAAGTCCTAAAATCTCAAAGACCTAAACTCCAAAAATTCTGACACCTCGAAGTCCCAAAATTCAGAAATTCCAAAACCTTAAAGTCGTAAACTCTCAAGAACTGAAAATCCCAAAATTCTGACACCTCAAAGTTTCAAAATCTCAAAGTACCAAAAACCTCAAAATTAATCTTGAAGTCCCAAAATCCCAAAGTCCCACAATCCCAAAATTCCGATCTCCCCAAATCCCAATATCCTAAACTCCCTAATTCCCAATTCCCTAATTCCAAATTTCCAAACTCCCCAAATTCCCCAGATCCCCACCGTAAATTTCGAACTCCAATCCGAAACAAATATCGAAAGTATCCGAAACATTAAAAAATTCCGTTCCCCTCGTTCCAATCGCGATCACCGCGTTCCCATCGAGCCGGATAATTAAAAACAAAAAGTTGATTTTCCCAATGAAATTCCCCACCGCGAATTCCTTTTCCCATGCGAAAGCTCATCATTTACGCTTCCACGTACGATATCAATACATTGCGTCGGTTAATTACCGTGATAAAATGGTCGTAGCTAATAGGCCGATTGATTAACGTCTTCCCGAGTTCCGCGAGGTTAATTAATGTTATTGGTGAATAATTGAGCCAGAGTAAAATGCGAAGTATTTCTGGGATAATTTTTTTTTTTTTTTTATTGCGTTTGTTTTTTAATGGCAAGATATGGCAGTGTCGGCCGTGATTAGAAGATGCATTGCTTCTTTCCTCGCACAACGTATCGATATCATCTTGGATCTTGATAAGGTTCGCTTGCAAGTCGGAAGTTGCAGCTTGTCGGCGAAGGAAAAAGTCTCGAGGGAATTTCGAGTAATCTTCCTGATCACGGAAGCGGAAAATATTTAATCGGTGGAAGCCGTGGAATAATTTCAAATTAAATGTTGTGTCAATGCTGGTTATCTTGCTTTGCTAACGGAAAACTTACTTGTAATTGGATACTCTACTTACTGCTCTTACCTACTCTAATTTATCTCGGTCTAATCTACTGTTTCGTGTAAACGAAATTATTGCTTTTATCGAACCTTTGGTGCTTGAAGGTACTTTTGTCTAATAGAAACTTTTAATATTTTTTTTCAAAATTATCAAATTATTTTTTATTAGTAGTGGAGCTACCAAAATGGCCGCCTTCAGGTTTCACAATTTTTATTTTACACAACTGACTCAAACTTTTTATTACAAAATTGTGCTTCTGTCATTAGAAGAATAGCTGTACATATTAACCCTGCAATATTTATTTGTTTTTCCATCTTCTTTTTATTTTAAGTATAAAATGTGCAGGTACAGGTAGCTCAAGTACTATGTGGTACTTATGACATTACCTCAAGAGTTACACTACTATAAATATCTGCAAGAAAATATATTTTTGTCACATTGAATGATGCTTATATTTTTACAAGTTCAGAGTTGAGCTCGTACTTTAAGAATTAAATTAGTGTGCCGTATAATTTCATACAAGTTTGATGAAATACATTTCGCATCCAAATTACAAGGTCGTTCAACCTAGTCGTTTAAGCAAGCTGAATCTTTTTTAAACGAATAAAAATTTTGTAGCTTGAATTGAATTTACAAAGACGAAGAGGTGTCTTTGAACGAGTTTTCCCACATCTTCCCTCGCGTTCTCTGGAAAGTAGGATTGTCGCGGCTGGAGTAGGTCTTTAATTACGGCGGAGAGGCATTAAACTAAACGCGTGCTTGCGTTAATCTATGCACACCACGGTAGTACTCCACGTCCCGTTATTGGCTGTCTGGCAAACGAGTAAACATCTTCGCCGGGTGCAACACGCGCGATTCCTTCAAGATTTATCGATCATCGTCCAACTAACTCTATTCGCGGTGGCACGGTAGCTTGCGGGTCGAGTTACTTTCGCAATCGAATGTAACGTACACTTCGAACTTCGCTGCTTTGCAATTTCGCTAACTTCGAATTTAGGAGCCATCGAAGTTTTTCTGTTTACGAACTTTCGGAGATTTGATATTTAGGAGCTTTGGGAGCTTTGATATTTGACAAGTTTAAGAGCTTTGATATTTGACAAGTTTAGAAGCTTTGATGTTTGGCAACTTTAGGTGCTTTAAAAACTTGCAATTTTAAGAGCAGTAAAAGCTTTCGAACGTGGAGTATTTGGAGCTTATAAATTTTGGAGGTTTGCAAGCTCTGATATTTGACAAGTTTAGGAGCTTTAAAATTTGACAAGTTAGGAGCTTTGGAAGCTTGCAAATTTACCAGTAGTAAGAGCTTTGGAATGTGGAGGATTTGGAAGCTTTCCAATTTAGGAGCTTCGGCAGCTTTCGGATTTGGACAATTTGGGACAAACTAAATTTTGGAGGGTCGGAGCTTTGAAGTTTGGTAGGTTTTGGAGCTTTTAGAGCTTTCAGGACTTCAGGAGCTTTCAGAGCTTATGGAGCTTTAGAAGCTTGAGGAGTCTTTGGAGCCTGAGGAGCTTGAGGAGCTTGAGGAGCCTTTGGAGCTTGTGGAACTTGAGGAGCCTTTGGACCTTGAGAAGCTTGAGGAGCCTTTGGAGCTTGTGGAAATTGAGGAGCCTTTGGAGCTTGAAGAGCTTGAGGAGCCTTTGGAGCTTGAGGAGCTTGAGGAGCTCAAGGAGCCTTTGGAGCTTGTGCAGCTTTGAAAGTTTTCAGAGCCTTTGGAGCTTGAGGAGCTTTGGAAGCTTGAGGATCCTTTGGAACTTGTGGAGCTTGAGGATTCTTTGGAACTTGTGGAACTTGAGGAGCCTTTGGAGCTTGTGGAGCTTTGGAAGCTTTAGGAGCCTTTGGAGCTTATGGAGCTTGAGTAACCTTTGGAGCCTATAGAACTTGTGGAACTTTGAAAGCTTTCAGAGCCTTTGAAGCGTGAGGAGCTTTGGAAGCTTGAGGATTCTTTGGAACTTGTGGAGTTTGAGGAGCCTTTGGAGCTTGAGGAGCTTTGGAAGCTGTAATAGCTTTCGAAGTTGCATGAGCATTGTGAGCTTTGAAATTTAGGAACTCCAGAATCTCTGACAGCTTTAAAATTTGCAAACATTGACAGCTTTTGTATCTACATATTTTACAATCTAAAAATCTAAGGAACTTTGTGAGCTTTGAAATTCATAACCTTTGTAAGCTTTCAAATCTAGCACCATTAAGTGCTTTTGCAAGTCCAAAATAAAAAATTACAGACCTCCACAACAGACCTCATCGATTGACCCAAAACCTTTCTCGAGTACGCACTGAAATTTTTGATGAGAACGTTTTGCGAATGATGTACCAATTAAATTTCATCGATTGTCAACCAATTCACAAATTCTTTTTTTCCCTCGATAATACCCATCGAAGTCAGTCGAATCGTATGATGCTAATCCGACCGCTTGTCACCGACTGGCCGACTCTCGATAATAAGAGGGTCGGGTTGAATCGAAACGACAGATAATTAAACGGTCGCCGTGACCGATAATGAAATATTAATTTCTGTCGAGCGTTGTCGCGTTTCTTAGAAAACGGACAAGCTGGAAAACAGGCGTTAGACATTTTTCATCCGTTGAGTCATCTCGCTTAGCATAGAAATTAACGCATTATATAAATGGGTGAACATAATCAGAGACGCTGCGATGAACGGACAGAGGACAGATAACGAGAGGCAGAGATTGTTCAAGCGACTGGAGAAAACTTATTTGCTTGATAATCTTGTCGCTCGAAAGACAAACGTTTTTAACGCGTCGGCGATACGTTTGTCAAACAAATAACGATCGTGCATTTGTGGAATCTTAATTTTCTTTTGATTTACTGAACGTTTATTGTTCGAACACCACTGAAAATCTTCGATAGAAAGAGTTGGTAATAAAATTCTGATGTATCTTGTTCACTTTAATATTTTACTAGAATAACTCTTGTCGGCTATAAAATAAATGTCGCGTAACAATGTACGCTTCATCGAACGTCCACGTTTACAGTCAGTTTTGAAATATTTTTTAATGAAAAAAATAACGAGAAAGTTCACTGTCCTTGAGTTACAGGACATTCCTGAGTGAGTTTAGAACAAATAATTATCGAACTTCGAGACGGCTGTAAACATGTTAATCGTGCGGCCTTTAAAAAGAAAAGTACTAATGTCAGAGTTCAGGAAATAGGATGATCTAAACGGCGTACGATTATGGGTCATAGAATTCATCTTTCTATTTTCTCCAAGGACAATGGCTATAAAAAGAGAAGAGGATTCGAGGATTTCGAAAGTTGCGATACAGTAGCCACAAAATGAATCTTTATTTAACGCTCCGCGAATCAGGCGATTTCTTTCGCTTCACGGTGTGTTTCTAAGGCTGAAAAGGAATTTGGATGCTTGTAATGTTAGATGTCCGAGGTGTTTCGCTGTTATTAATCGTACGATTATTGCAACACCCTTTCTAATTAACGTTAAACGGGGCTACCGACGTTTCATTGTTAATTTAATTTTCCTCGATATTGCCACCGCTTTTATTACCATTGTAACCATTAATGACTTTACTATTCCTATTACCGCTTCTATCGCCACCATAAATATTACTATCTTCAATGTACATCTAACTGTTCGATTATTTCCATTGTGTCTCTATCTGTTGCTACATAATGCTACTGTCTTCTACTATAATTAACTCTCGCTTTATTCTGTTCGCGGATAAAGGAATACTCTTTATAATAGATAATGTACAATGAACGTTAATTGTTGCATTCAAGCTGGGGAAATATTAATTGTTCTATCGTGTCGGGATTTATAGTTAAATATTCAGTCACGTACGTTATTGCTATTTTTCAAATTGATTTGAAGTTTCAATGCAAAGTGCAAAATCGAGGATGAGGTTTAGTTCAATTAAAGTTAATTCTAATTTAATTTCTATTTGATTTCAATTCGATTTCAATTCGATTTCAATTCGATTTTAATTGGATTTCAATTCGATTTTAATTGGATTTCAATTCGATTTCAATTCGATTTCAATTCAATTTCAATCGGTTTTAAATTCAATTCCAATTCATTCCAACTCAATTCTAGTTCAGCTTTAATGCAATTCCAATTCAATACTAATTCAATTCTAATTCAATTCTAATTCAATTCCAATTCAATTCCAATTCAATTCCAATTCAATTCCAATTCAATTCCAATTCAATTCCAATTCAATTTCAATTCAATTCCAATTCAATTCTAATTCAATTTTAATTCAATTCCAATTCAATTCCAATTCAATTCCAATTCAATTCCAATTAAATTTCAATTAAATTCCGATTCAATTCTAATTCAATTCCAGTTCAATTTAAATTCAAGTTCAATTCACGTCCAATTCAAGCCTAAATCATGTCAAGCTCAAGTTCAAGTTAGATTTAAATTGAATTTCAAGTCCAATTTAAGTCAAGTTTATGTTCAAGTGAAATTTAAGCCCAATTTACGTCAAGTTTAGGTTCAAATTAAATTCAAGTCCAATTCCAGTCAAATTCATATCAAATTCAAGTAAAATTCATGTTCAAGTTCAAGTTCAATTCAAGTCCAATTCAAGTCCAATTTAAGTCAAGTCCAAGTTCAAGTTAAATTCGAATCCCATTGAAGTCAAGTTCAAATTCATGTTCGAGTTCAAGTTCAAGTACAAGTTGAAGTACAAGTTCAAGTACAAGTTCAAGTACAAGTTCAAGTACAAATTCAAGTACAAGTTCAAGTACAAGTTGAAGTACAAGTTGAAGTACAAGTTCAAGTTCAAGTTCAAGTTGAAGTACAAGTTAAATTCAAGTCCCATTGAAGTCAAATTCATTTTCAAGTTCAAGTTCAAGTTCAAGTATAAATTCAACTTCATTTCGATTCAATTTCATTTTTAAACGAGATCTTTAATAGTGTCATTTAATTGCCATTACCAAAATTGAACATTTATCTGTTCACAATCAGCATATTCAGATTCAGTATTCTCCGTTCAGATTCCTTCAGCACGAACAAGATTAATTAACTAAAAAATATTCCAAATACGACGACCATGAGTCATCTTCCCAAAGGGTCACCCATATACGACCGACAAAATGGCGGCAATCAACATGTCGAAAGAGCATCTGACCATTGTACAACTCCAAAAATGATTTCGCAAAATTTATTTAGACTTCCGGGGACTCGAATCGGATCGATAGATCGTTAGACGTTCGGCAGGCACGAGGACGCGAAGACACCTCAAGGCTTCGTGTTCCCAAGCGTGGATGATAATCATCGTCCATGTAGAATGACGTCACGTACGGTGGCCTCGACGATTCCGACGCCTTGTAATTCCGATTTCAATAAAATACCACGGGACGAACGTTAACGTTTTATTGGCTGTCGCGGTTCGTCGATCGTCCAGGCACACAAAGGGAAGAAAATCGTTTTCTCTTCGTTTTTTTTTTTCAAACGAACGTTCAAGGCGAGTCGTTATCGATATCGTAAAATTTTACCACCCTTTCGGGATTGTAACGATGCTTTACGATTGTAAACAGAACGATTCTGTCCCCGTAATTGCGCGTTTAATTAACCGTGATATTAATACATTCCTGGGAATTAATTGTAGAATTAGAAACTGCTTGCGTTTTATGGAAATACGGATTCTATAAACTTCTAGGTTTAATTCTGGTTTTGTAGTTGTAGTTTGCAAAAATGGTAGTTCATCGAATTCTGCAAAGTGGTTGATTTCTTTTGCTGCTTGCTTTAGGTTCGCTAATTGTTTTCTGATAGCTGGAAGTTCTTTGTTCTCCACTTTAATGATCCAGTACATTTACTTTTTACTGTGTTATTGGATCTTAGAGATACACCTTTCTTCAACCTTTTTAACACTGAAATTACCAAACTGGTCTAATGGCTGGACAACGAAATGTTAAGACTTGAAATGAAAGTCTTTCATTCTGACTTTAAAATTTGAGAAGGTGGAAATTTGAGAAGGTGGAAATTTGAGAAGGTGGAAATTTGAGACGGTGGAAATTTGAGAAGGTTGAAATTTGAGAAGGTGGAAAGTCTTTGGGAATTTAGGGAATGAGAATTTGGGGATTTGAGATGGTGGAAATTTGAGAAGGTGGAAATTTGAGAAGGTGGAAATTTGAGA